TCAGAAACAACAAAATAGGAATTAAACTAGGAAACATTGAGCAAAGTAAAGGATAACAGAACCAAAACCATGACATATAGACCTTATTTGGATTCCGTAAAAATTCAAAAAATATCCACTGGACTTGGTTTCCAAGATTTGAAGACGTTTCACCACCTCTCCAGGAAGCTTTCTCAATTCCAATGTCTGGATCCGCAGTGAGTTTGAGTCTTATATGGACAAGGCCTCGTATTGCTTGGAAACATGCAATGGTAACCAATGAATGGCTCGTTAGTTCCATCGTTAGCCTGTAATATCTGTCCCTGTCTATGATTCTAGGGGTCGGTCGTTAAAGGGGGATTGCCATTAAGGGGGGGATTGTCTCCTGTAATACCTGAAACCTGTCTATGATTGTTAAGGGTCGGTCGTTAAGGAGGTATTGTTCACCGGCTGGAGCGGGTAGGTCCCTCGTTCCTCTGTGATGGGGTGGGGGGTTTGGTGATATCTGGAAGGGATCATGTCTATGATTGAATTGTATGTTTTTGGAAGCTGGAATCTGAGTCCACCTCCTCTGTTTAAAGTTGTTTTTTCTCTCTTAACATAGATGGCTTCCTTCCACTCGAACCACCTATTTTCTTTGTCCTTTGTCCACAAGGTGTAGGTGTACTGCGGAGTCTTGTCCCGAGGTGGCCGCTCTTCTGTGTTGGGCCGTGCGTCTGTGGAGAGGTTGTTTGGTTTCGCCAATATAAAGATCAGAGCATTCCTCGCTGCACTGAACAGCATATACCACTCCGCTCATATTCGGTCTGGGGGTTTTATCTTTAGGATGCACGAGCCTCTGTTTAAGGGTTTGGTTTGGCTTGAAATGTACTGTTATCTTGTGTTTGGAGAAAATCCTCTTGAGCTTTTCAGACACTCCAGCAACATAAGGGATTGTAATGTTTTTGCGTTTAATTTTCCCTTATTTGGATGTAAATAAAGTTGTCTTTTCATACAATTTTCCTCGGTGGGCAGTCAGTTTTAACGTTGCACATCGCGTTTATAGTAAGCAGGACAGACTGGAGCAAAAACAATGAATGAAAGATTAAAATGGAAAACTGTCCCAATGAGGACAGAAAACGGATATATTGGAAAATAGTCATCCTCTTTTTTTCTCACAAAAAACAAAATAATGGAGGGCAGACAGGTAAGCAAAGTTCAGCATTCTTCAATCTATGAAGAAGAGAAAAGAAAGAAAAACTTGGATAAACTTCCCAGATCTTTCTCTGAGAATCACCTCTCTGCCTCAGTCACCATAGAAACCGTCCCACGCTGTTTATTGCTGCGTTTTTCTTTTCTTTAGACGTAGATCTCATGATGTTTTTTAATATACGAACATTCTCTATCTGTTCAGAGGTACGGAAGTGAAATAAAATCTGTCAGATCTGCCCATCCTGGCCAGGGGGAGCCCCTCTATACGCAGTCACTGTGACATGAAAAAAAATCTGATTGGAGATTAAAAAATCACGCAGCCGGTGTGTTCAGGCCTCTATGGCCCCATTCACACGGAGGCGTGATAAAGGTCATTAGTTGCGTTAGAACCACATCTTTCATCAAACACATGGGGTTCATGCTAAGGTCCGTCCCGCACCACATGGCCCCGCTAACAGACACAGCAGCCATGTTAAACAGGCCTAACTGGTCGCTGTTGTCATGGGAACTTCACAGTCTATTATTGTGCATGTTTCTGTCACAGTGTCACAGCGCCACCAACGGGTTCAGTACATCCACCATAGCATCTCCTGTGTCGATGCATCGTCTCATGCGAAGCTTCGTTTGCTTTTACCGTTTAGAAAGGTTTGCCTTGTTTGTCTTATGTTGTTGCAGCCAAACAAAGTTGGAGCAAAAGGACTTTCCTTTATCGTGTCAGGTTTCTGTTTCTGTTATGTTTTTCTTTTCAGTATTCAGTCTTGCTTTACTCCTTGTATTCTAGTGTTAGTGGTTTTATTTTCATTTTGCTGTGTTCTTTGTTTTTTTTCCTGTTACTGTCCTAGTCTGGGTTCTGTTATGTTTTCTTTTGAGTGTTTATAGTTTTCTTTTCTCCATGTTTTATAGTCCTAGTAATTTAACATTGTGGTATTTCCAGTCTTCCAGGTTTCTATTTTGTTGCTCTCTGCTGCCCGCTTATGTTCTCCTTCTTCCCTAGCTCTTTCCCTCTTGTTCTGTGCACACCTGCTCCCAGTTTCCTCATTAGCCCCCTCTTTGTCTCTGTCTCCTTTAAAAGCCCTCTCTCTTCAGTTCCCCTTGCTGGGTCCTCTTCAAACACTGCCAAACTTTGTCAAACTTCCTCCAACAACGTCTTGGACATCTCAAGACTGTCCAAATCCTGACATATCGGGCTCAGACAACATTCTTAACAACATCTCAGTTCTTTAAGTGAGAAAACTCAGCTGGACACATTGAAGAATCTTGATCTGTGCTGCCCTTAACTTACCAGTATGGAAAAGCTATCGGTAGGACAAAAATCAAGTTAAACTTAAATGATTCTCTTTCATTCCCGCCAGCCTGGGAAAAAGGTATTCCAATGCTTTCCAAAAAATCCCAGTACAGAACAAAACTCTTTCTCATCTCATGATTTTTCACCAAAAATACACAGCACCCAGCCTGGTTATATTTATACCATACTCTAACTGGTTGGGTGTGCATATTTATGTCTGCACAGCCCAGTGCGCCGGCTCATGGCCTGTAAGGTGATTGGTTAAGCCCAGCGGGCCCGGTACCGGATCCAACTGTTATTCTTCTTTTCTATTCAGTTTGATGATATTATTGGTAAATTTCAATGAAATGACTTATCTTAGTATCAAAGACTTTGCCTCATGCAGGTCTCCAATAATGGAAATCAGAATACCGTTAATCCTCTAATATAGGCCAGGGCCTTTATTTCACTGAGGTACATCTTGGTCCAGGCCATTATTGGAAGGAGGCCAGAATTAGAGGCAGGCCTCTATTTCTATTTGATCAAAACAGACGACCAGTGGAATGAATAACAATGAGATTTTGTGTCTCATTGAACCTATAAAATACTAGGTTCATTTATTGAAAAAGTACAGTTACCATAATGATATACAGAACATTATTCAGACATCTTCCAGCAGCTGCAATGTTTCTGCAGAATGGAATCTTGGCCAAACTTACTTGCGAAACAAAGTAAAAAAAAATATATATATGGAAACTGTTCTGCCATCACAGCGACATTATATTTGAGGCAGGCTAAGTGGAAGTAGGCTACTAGTATCGTATATTTCAAGGGAAATTCAGAACAACAAAGGCAAATGAAATTCTGTAATTTTACGCTGCCTGGTTACCACCAGACCTACCGGTGATCATGTGTGTTTCAGATCAGAACGATTGTGTAAGGCAACTACGATCTCTGTGTAAGGACGGGACTTCCCATGCTAACATGCTTGGATTCGTTAGCAAACACTGCCCCCCTGTGGTACTTGTTTGTTACTATCACAGGTTGTTGAGGACTGCCCAGGAACATTGTTGGTTCTAATTTTAGCCCCTGCCTGTATACGAGTCCGGCCATAATTTACATCTGCCGACAGCGAGACCGGCCATTATTAGAGACCCGGCTGCTAATGGAATACAGGCCAATATTAGAGGATTTACGGTATTTGTTTGACAAGATTTCCTTTTATGAGTGGGAAAAAAATCTGATTTCTCCCTATCTCCCTGCCCACTAAAACCTTTGTGGAACAAACATGCTTCAACTTATTCAGTTCAAGTTAGATTGATTTATAGTCAAGATGTTGATCTATAAAGTCTGAGGGTTCATCCAGAGTTTCAAATAAGCTTTCACAGTGTTTTGCAGTTTTTATTTTAGAAAAAAAATTTGCGAGCTCATTTCTTTTTTTTCTTTTTTTCTTTGTTTAATCACCTATAAATCAAACACGTTGACATTTATAATATTGGTTCCACCTTAAAATATTCCTCAACAAATACAAACAATTTAATTTCCAATTTATAGCTGAACTTGCTTTAATTCACATATTTAATTTCAGGCCGAATTTGCTCCTAAGACCCTCTGAGCTTAACTTTTTAACCTATAAAAAGTAAGACCAGACAGACACAGTGTAAGGTTCACAAGATTTTGCAAAAGTGGAGAGAAATTTGTGCACCAAAGTCTCTTAGCTCTACTCCAACTGTATGTCCCCTTGCAGGCCTCTCCATAAGGGTCTCTTAGTCTAACCATGCCACAGAAATGACTGTGTCCTTTTTCAGTCCCTATATTCATCCTTAGCTGAAGTAATAAAGCCATTTTATTTAGTTTTACTCTAGAATAAGAATCAATATAATGTCTGTTGTTTTGAAGGTAGATACTCTGGTGCTTAATGATTTAAGTGTTAAATTGTTTTTAATTAAGTCGGGTACGGAGAGCGATGGGCTAAAAGCGAACACAGTCCGATCTGAAGCTGCGTTCCTCTCATTTTGAGGTAAATCCTTTAAAGTTCTCATTAAAAAGTCCAGGCAGTATTATTCAAAAACATGACTTTTATCATCCTTCAGCGTCAGACTGATAATGCATCGCCCTCGGGTTGAAACTGCTCCCTTCGTATCTGTTTGGGAAACAGTTGGACGTTCAGCAGAAGGGGTGAACAAAGTCTGGCTTTAGTCAATCAGGGGGGTGAAAGAAAGAACAGCCTCCAGTTTGCACTCTTGCTGATTCTCCTCCAAAGATGAAAAGGTGGATTCTGAACAACAGGTGTGAAAGCAGCAGCTAGTCCTGCGTCAGCCTGCACTGCCACGGTTATCCTGCTTGGCCTGCAGGCTCGGCAGCAACGCCAAAATAATATGAAAGTTCAGTTTACAGACGATCTGGTGTAATTATTTCATTATTATACTGATTCATTCATTTTGCTGCTACTAAATTGTTTCTTCTGCATGAGAACCAAATAAAACAGAGATCATTTTTTTTAATTAAAGGGAACATCAGTTTTCTGTTAAATTTGACCTTAACATGACCTTTCCTGTCTTCACAGATTCAGGCTGCTGTTTTGGTTTCAGCTTATCCCAGAGAGCATCTGGTGCGACAAAAAAGACAGTGGGTGGTCCCTCCTATACACCTGAACGAGAATGAGGACCACACCCACAAGTTGTCTATTGCCAAGGTGAGCGACTTCACTGGCAAATAAATCCTGGATTTGGTGGAAGATTTATTTTTTCTTGTTAAATAAATTTCTAACAGTGAAGACAGTTCGAACGGCTCCTTCACCTGGTGGAGCATTGCAGCATGGCTTCAGATGGTTTCCTTCACTAAATCAGAGTCCCCTTCTGTTTCAGATCCGATTGGACTTTGCAGGGTCGGAAAAAATTACTTATTCCTTAGAGGGCATCGGAGCAAATCAGTACCCTTTTCATGTGTTTGTGGTTGACCCTCGTACTGGAGACGTCCGCGTGACCAAAATCCTTGACAGGGAGGACATCGCCCTATACAAGGTAAGTTCCCGGCTGCTACGGCAAACTCAAAAGGAGAAATGGTAGCTGGCCTGTTCTAATACAGTCCAAAGCACTTTACTCTGACATCCCCACACTGAGAGAGGTGAGCTATGCCGCAGCCTCAGCTGCTCTGGGATAACGACAAAGTCAGGCTGTTGTACAGATTTCAGGCCTGTCTCTTCTTCAAGGACAGAATGACAGAGACAGACGGAGCAGGGACTCCAACCAGCAACCCCTGCCTCCACAAGAAAAGGGGTCTAGAATTAATTAGGCTTTACACACATGAACTACACTAATATTTGTGAGGGAGTGGTGGACTAGCGGTTAGGGCATAGAGCTGGGAATCCTGAGGTTCTAAATTCGAGCCCCACTCCCACAGACTGCCACTCTGGGTCCCTGAGCAAGACCCTTAAGCCCACACTGCTACATTCATTTGGAAAAATTATTTTGCTCGTATCATTTCTGTTCTGTAAACATGATGAAAATATTATTCAGATTTATCCTTTTCAGCTTTCAGGTCTTGCTCATTTTCAAGATGGAAGTGAAGCAGAGGAACGTATTGACCTGCGAATTAAGGTCGTGGATGTAAATGACAATCCTCCAGTATTTCCTTCAACGATGGAAGCTAAAGTGTATGAACTCAGCCCTCTAGGTCAGTGGTGCAAATATATAAAAGAGTAAAGATGCTGGTATCTCTGAGGACTAAAAAATGTCTCTGTTTGAAGTGATCCAGATTTGAATGGCATCTTGAAATCCATTACAGATGGATTTATTGTCACATTTTACACTAAACTTTTAGCTGAGTGAATTTTTTTCCACTGTGGTTTGATTGGCAGGAACTTCAGTTATACAAATCACTGCCACTGATAGAGATGATCCTGAAACAGCCAACGCTAAGATCGCCTACTCCATCATAGACCAGAAACCCCGCGAAGACTTTGGCATTAGCAAGGATGGCATGATCTATGTCAGCAATCCTAACTTGGACAGAGAAGTATGATTTTTTTAATAAACATAATTGAGGTTTTATCAAACAAACTGTATTTTTACAAAAGACATTAAAATGCTAGTTGGTTCCAAGAAAATCTGCCTTTGTAGAGGAAAACATTCGGAAGTAGCTGCTGAAGGACTCAGGATAGTTATAGTTCAGTACACTTTTTTTACAAAGTAAAATTGACATTGCCCCAAAGGTATATCTAGTTGTGGCAATGAGCTGATGGTATGGTCATGCTACCGGTATGGTCATGCTACTGGTATGGGGCGTGCTATTGGTATGGGTCGTGCTACCGGTATGGGTCGTGCTACCGGTATGGGTCGTGCTACCGGTATGGGTCGGGCTGTGTGTCTGAACGAGCTGGAATACCAGTCGGTCATCATGGACTTTGTGGACTGGTGTGAGAGAAACCATCTGTCTCTGAACACCAGTAAGACCAAGGAGATGGTGATCGACTTCAGGAGAAGACCACCACCCCACCCCCTCGTGAACATCGAGGGACAGGACATAGAAACTGTGGAGAGTTTCAAATACCTGGGTGTTTACGTCAATGATAAACTGGACTGGACTCATAACACTGACGCCCTGTATAAAAAGGGCCAGAGCCGCATCCACCTCCTGAGGAGGCTGAGGGCCTTTGGAGTCAGCAAGCCCCTCCTTAAAATCTTTTATGACTCTGTGGGGGCCTCAGCCCTCCTCTACACTGTTGTCTGCTGGGCCCCTGGCAGCTCAGAGCGGGACAGAAAGCTGGTGAGGAAGGCCACTTCTGTCCTGGGCTGCCCTCTGGACTCGGTGGAGGAAGTGGCTGAGAGGAGGATGCTGTCCAAACTCGCATCCATCATGGACACCACCTCTCACCCCCTGCACCAGACTGTAGAGGAGCTGAGCAGCTCCTTTAGTCAGAGACTTAGACACCCTGTCTGTAAGAAGGAGCGCTACCGCAGGTCCTTCATTCCTGCTGCCACCAGACTCTATTATAATGCACTATAACCACAATAACTCCTGTAAAAACCACTGTGCGGCTATATTAGAGTTTTTTTATTTATTGACTGCAATATTCTGTGCAATATGCTGAATGTGCAATATATGTGAATAGAATAGTCATACCACTACCTCACCGTTGCTCCTTACCTACTACACTTTAACGTAAAAGTAAATCCACCTGTATATAAGCCATCCGGATTGTACATATTTTTATTTCTTATTCCTTTATTTCTTATTTTTATTTTGTTTTTCATTGTGTGCAATACATGTACACTTGCACCATAATCCTTATTTATCTTGATATACTGTATATATATTGTTTGTTTATTCTTAATGCACCTTTTTCCTCCTTCTTTGCACCCTCTTCGACTTCTATGCCAATATGTGACAGGTGAATTTCTCCGCTGTGAGATCAATAAAGCTAATCTAATCTAATGTACAATATTTTCAATCGTTGTACATAGCTAAAGCTCAAACTCTACAACGAAACTGCAGGGATTAAAGGTTCAACAGCTTATGATCTGACTCTGATTTGACTGTAAGACCCAACGCTCTGATGGATCTACCTGCTCACACTGTACGTTTAAAAATCAGACGTTGGACAGTGGAGTAGATGAAGGAAGGTCTCAAAAGTAGAGAACAAGAGCCGATGATGAAGCGGGTCGTTATTTATAGCTTTACCATCACCTGAAAGTCTAAAACCCATTAATAATGGGTCAGGATGATTGTGTTTTACTGAGAACTGCTGACTCAATTTTCCCCAGAGCAGAACTAACAGCGGTGAGACAACATTTAGCTCTGAAACAATGCCAATGATAGTAAGTCTATAGATAAATGAGCATTGTACATTCCAGTTTTCTTTGACTGATGTGGAAATAAATCAGGAATTCCATGTGCATGAATGAGGCTGTAGAAAAGGAACTGGCCTTGCCTCCGTTAGGCTAGCTCTAACTGTTATTTTCCTTTCAGGAAGAAGATACATACATTCTAACAGTGACTGCTGCAGATCTATACGGTGAGCCAGGTGGACACATTACAACAGGCACCGTCACTATCAAAATCCAAGATGTCAATGACAATCCTCCAACTCTAGAAAAATCTGAAGTAAGTTGCTTGATGCAGCGTTTGTGTGTTGATGTCACTGCTTTTATTGGCTGTAGAACTTGGCAACATCTTCAAGTCAAAGAATTTTGATGAACAAATATCCAGTTTGAATGAATATTACCGTAATGCATCCTTTTACCCTCTGTGCCTTCTTCGCAGCATGAGGGAACCATTTTGGAGAACACACACAATGTTGAGGTGATGAGGCTCAAAGCAGAAGACCTGGACGAAGAGAACACAGACAACTGGGTTGTTGTTTATGAAATCGTCAAAGGGAACGAGGCCGGATATTTCAGCATAAAAAAAGATCCCATAACCGGCGAAGGCATCTTAATGCTTGATAAGGTATCCTGCTATTCTTTTCCTCTACATCTTAGGGTGTGTGGTTGGGCCCCAAAGGATTCCTCCTCTTCTGATATTTCAGTTCAGCTTACACAACTTGTAATCTCAAGGCACCTACCAGAGAATAATCAATTATCATCCAGTCAGATTACTTCAAAGTTTTCTGTCTAACTGACTTGTTGCAGAAGAAAGACGAGGCCTTTTTAATCTTATTTAAAGGCCTGGTACATTTTACAATGCAATAAGCTACTGCATTTTTAAGATCTGTCTCTTGCATTTTTGTCTTTTATATTCCCAAATAAGCGTTTAACATGGACTTTATAAATTGCACAAGTATGCAAAAAGCAGCAGAAACAAGTATGAACGAGGGAGTAAAATAGCATGGCTACAACTTGCGACTTTAATAATCACCAAGCTGTCTACTACAGTAGAATTAGTTTCACTAATGCCTGATGTCAAAGGTAGTTGTTCATTTTAAAGGAATAGTACACCCAAAACATGATTAGCCTTCATTTTCTACTCACCCCCATGCTGAACAACACTCTGGAGTACTTTTTTGATATCTCAAATGCATCTGGAGATCTGGGAGGCTTCTTGCTGTCTGCTAACATTCAAATAATGGAGGTCTATTGTGCCCGAGACAGAAAGGTCCATAAAAGTCCACAAAAAACGTGTCAATATTCCTCCATACTGCTCGTCCAATGTATTCCAAGTGTCCTGAGTGGGTAGCGTCCAGAATTTACTCGAAACGAAGTCATTTTGAATGTTTTTAGAGCATAAACAGTAGTGTATAGGATTTCCTGAAAGCGCGCGCCGGCGCGTTCATGACGCTACGGAAACCGCGGCAGACCAAACCAGATGAAAGTGCGCATTCAGCTTGGCAAAGAACTCATGCTCTTCCTCAACACTGAAGTCCTCAGACATTTTTCTTTCGTTGTTTCTTTCTTTGCACATGTAAACAGCACATTTCTTCTTCTACGCTTGCATTATCGTCAGAGCAGACTCTGAATGCGCACTTTCATCTGGTTTGGTCTGCCGGCTTCCGTAGCGTCATGAACGCGCCGGCGCGCGCTTTCGGGAAATCCTATACACTACTGTTTATGCTCTAAAAACATTCTAAATGACTTCGTTTCGAGTAAATTCTGGATGCTACCCACTCAGGACACTTGGATTACATTGGACGAGCAGTATGGAGGAATATTGACACGTTTTTTGTGGACTTTTATGGACCTTTCTGACTCGGGCACCATAGACCTCCATTATTTGAATCTCAGCAGACAGCAAGAAGCCTCCCAGATCTCCAGATGCATTTGAGATATCAAAAAAGTACTCCAGAGTGTTGTTCAGCATGGGGGTGAGTAGAAAATGAAGGCTAATCATGTTTTGGGTGTACTATTCCTTTAAGATGCCATAGCTAAACTGCACCTTCAATTCGGCAAACAGTGAGGGTTAGGTCCCTAGATGCCCTAGCATCTTGGGACACCATCACGATGGTTTAGCATTGATGGTGTCATTAGTTTGACAGAAATCAGGAAAGTAAACAATGGAGAGCAATGTGTAAGGCCGGGCATACACTGTACAATATTTTAAATCGTTCTACTCGGCTACAGCTCAAACTGTACAACGAAACTACAGGGTTTAAAAGTTCACGGCTCACAAAATCTGTTAGAAATAGAAATTGAACTTGGTTGATTTCACAATGGAGAAATTTACTCTCTGTATCTAACCCCTCCCCTTGGGGAGCAGTGTGCTGCCATTGTGCGGTACTAGGGGAGCAGAGTGTGATTAATGGTCTTACTCAGGGACCCAGAGTGGCAGTCTTTGGGGATCGAACTACTTACAACCTTCTTACAACCGTCTCAGAGCACAGCCCACTGCTCTAACCACTAGGTCAACACTCCTTCTTAACCTATACAACCCCATGCTCTGATGCGATCTACCTGCACACACTTTACGTCCAAAAAATAGATGTTCAACTCAGCGATGAGAGATTGAGTTGGTCGGACTCTGCAATCTAAAAGATGAAGAATTCCCTTGTTTGCACATGCGCAATACGCAAAGTTCTGGTAAATCAGCTCTTAGACACTCAGCTCTGCTTCCATAGCAGGATTTGCCCATGAACTCCTCACGAGGGCGGCCTAAGATTGCCGATCGGGAGGTGGCCGTGAGAGGCTGATTGCAGGATGAACGATGAGGCCGAAACCCTGCCCGATCCCAAAATTTCTCGCAGGACTGGAAAATTGGCCCAAAAAGGGCAAAAACTCCTGCAGTGTATGCCCTGCTTAAGGAAGCTAGGGTGTTGTAAGTGTGCTGTATTATTTGGCTATTTTGTCCCTCCTAATCTCTCTTACCAGTGCTGCTTCATGTTTATCGAATGCTAGCAGAGTTGTTTTGCCTTGCTATATCGGACGCAACTGACGGAATGTTTTGACATAGGCTGGTTGCGCTCAGTGGTATCACATAAATTAGCGGATGGACCTGGGTCTGGTGCTCCCACTGTATCCCAAATGGAGCGGACCCGTTTGAAGGCGATTTTAGCCCAGGTTGTTTTCCGAGTCGTTTGACCCGGTCGAAACCAGTCAGTGAGCAATTCCCACTGTTCCTAACAGCTGGATGTTCCTGGGTTTAAACAGGGGTATGAGGTCTAACCACTTTCTGATGGTAATTGATGGTATTACAAAAATTGATGGTATTACAAAAATCTGCAGTTTTTGAACAAGTACTTTTTCATACTGAGTAATATTGTGAAACTTGAAACCAGTGCTAGTAGATACTTGACAAATTTTAAGACAACTTGGCTTCAAACATTATCTTTCCCCCTTTAAATCTAAAATCAACTTTAAAAACAAAAGCAATAAACTAGAAATTTCTGACATCAGATGCATTGAAAGTACAAATTATTATAGGGCTTCATCAATGTTTATTGCCTTGCTTACTCTTCCTTTATCAATAGTAGAGGGCAAAACACTTAAGGAGGAGGAAAACTTTGAAAGAATTTGGTTTTAAAGAAGAGAAAGTGTAAAGTTTCTGTACTCTTCAGGTTCAAGTCTTTTCATTTTTGATGGATTGGAAAATGTCTATTCCCAGAATCAAGAACATCCTATAAAACTGCAAATAGACAAAAGATTTCATTAAACTTATAACAAAAAAGTGATAATCTGCATCTGCGCTGTTTCTCCCCATGTTAGCATTGTGTAACTTGCCTTTCAAAATGATTTGGTGGAGAGCAGGTCTTGGCCTCCAGGGTGTACAGATGCCAGAATCGATACTACAAGGCCAAATGCGTTTATTTCTACATGCCACAGTGTAAATACTCCACAAGTTTTTGTTTCTCTCTGTTATTTTTCAGGCTGTGGATTTCGAGGATGTAAAAACCCTGGACCTAGGGCTAGCGGTGCGCAACAAGGCCCCCCTATTTGACGGATCTATTCCCAATGGTGGAGCTAGTATTGGTTTTGGAGGAGGTCCCAGTGGTGCCAGTGGTGCCTCTGGTGCCAGTGGTGCCTCTGGTGCCAGTGGTGCCTCTGGTGCCAGCGGTGCCAGTGGCTCCAGCAGCTCCTCTGGAACCGGTGGATCCAGTGGAAATTTCCAAACCTATCCAATCAAAATCAATGTGAAGAACCAGCCAGGAGGACCACATTTTGATCCAGCAGTCAAAGCTATTCCAGTCACAGAAGGAAGCGAGTCTGGTGCCAGTGGTGCCTCTGCTGCCAGTGGTGCCACTGGTGCCTCTGGTGCCAGTGGTGCCAGTGGTGCCTCTGCTGCCACTGGTGCCTCTGGTGCCAGTGGTGCCTCTGCTGCCACTGGTGCCTAGGGTGCCAGTGGTACCTCTGCTGCCAGTGGTGCCACTGGTGCCTCTGGTGCCAGTGGTGCCTAGGGTGCCAGTGGTGCCTCTGCTGCCACTGGTGCCAGCAGCTCCTCTGGAAGCAGAGGAGGCATCCATGGCTTTTAAATTTTGTCTTGTCTTAGTCTCATTAACAAAAATAATTTTTCATTTTTGGCCTATTTTTATTTTCTGGAAACAATTTTTGTGCGTCATGGTCTCATCATTGTCACATGAAAAAGGGGCGTTGACAAAATGAACACTGCTATGAGACAAAGCAGAGAGAGTAGAACGTTAGAGATTGAACTAATAGATTCTGCAGAGTGGGAGAATAGAGATAGAATAAAGCAGATTGATTAAATGATGAGTTCAGTGGCTTAAGTGAATAAATAGAACGATTGAAATTGAGGCACTGGAGTTTACACAACAAACAGACGGAGAGGAATGAAATATAGATCGATCTCTATTAGATCAGAATGATCCACATGGTTGAAACCTCAAAATAAAAACATCTGGATGGAAAGAACTATGTCTTTGATCAACATTTGCCATGGAGAGATACAATGTGCCACCTTATAACAACAGCTTGCTAAAAGGTGGTTTCACTCTGTGGACTCGGGTTCTACGGCTCTGATGCTTTCTCTGAACCTACAAGCTTCTCCCCTGGAAAACCAAATCAGACTGCCTGCACTGCTCTGTTCATCTGTTTCAGCAGCACTAAACTCTCAGTCATCCAGCCCGCAGTGACATCACCATCACTGAGATCTGCAGAGGAACCTAAATCTTCCTCCTCCTCCTCATGGGTCTGTGAAGGTTGGGGGCTTTTCTAAATCCAGCCACTCAGCCGATCTCTCCATCTCGGAGGTTGTTCTCTCATCTGCTGACCAGTTTCTTGCTGTATTCTATAAATAAACACTTTAATCACTCCCTGTTGTGTTTGGCTGAATCCTGCTTTTTATAAGGCTGGCTCATCCCTTTTCAGCCATGAGTCAATAAAGGAGCTGTTCAAATGGAAACTGGTAAATGACCTGTACCTTTATACAGTGGGGCAAAAAAGTATTTAGTCAGCCACCAATAGTGCAAGTTCTCCCGCTCAAAAAAGATGAGAGAGGCCGGTAATTTTCATCATAGATATAACTCAACTATGAGAGACAAAATGAGAAAGAAAATCCAGAAAATCACATTGTCTGATTTTTAAAGAATTTATTTGCAAAATATGGTGGAAAATAAGTATTTGGTCAGTTACAAACAAGCAAGATTCCTGGCTCTCACAGACCTGTAACTTCTTCTGTAAGAGGCTCCTCTGTCCTCCACTCGTTATATTCATTAATGGCCCCTGTTTGAACCCGTTATCAGTATAAAAGACACCTGTCCACAACCTCAAACAGTCACACTCTAAACTCCACCATGGCCAAAACTAGAGAGCTGTCAAAGGACACCCGAAACAAAATTATAGACCTGCACCAGGCTGGGAAGTCTGAATCTGCAATAGGTAAACAGCTTGGTGTGAATAAATCAACTGTGGGATCAATTATTAGAAAATGGAAAACATACAAGACCACTGATAATCTTCCTTGATCTGGGGCTCCACGCAAGATCTCACCCCGTGGGGTCAAAATGATCACAAGAACGGTGAGTAAAAATCCCAGAACCACACGGGGGGACCTAGTGAATGACCTGCAGAGAGCTGGGACCAAAGTAACAAAGGCTACCATCAGTAACACACTACGCCGCCAGGGACTCAAATCCTGCAGTGCCAGACGTGTCCCCCTGCTTAAGCCAGTACATGTCAAGGCCCGTCTCAAGTTTGCTAGAGAGCATTTGGATGATCCAGACGATGACTGGGAGAATATCATATGGTCAGATGAAACCAAAATAGAACTTTTTGGTAAAAACTCTACTCGCGTGTTTAGAGGAGAGAGAATGCTGAGTTGCATCCAAAAATCCATACCTACAGTGAAGCATGGGGGTGGAAACATCATGCTTTGGGGCTGTTTTTCTGCTAAGGGACCAGGACGACTGATCCGGGTGAAGGAAAGAATGAATGGGGCCATGTATCGTCAAATTTTGAAGATTGCATTGAAGATGAAACGTGGCTGGGTCTTTCAGCATGACAATGATCCCAAACACACTGCCCAGGTAACAAAGGAGTGGCTTTGTAAGAAGCATTTCAAGGTCCTGGAGTGGCCTAGCCAGTCTCCAGATCTCAACCTCATAGAAAATCTTTGGAGGGAGTTGAAAGTCCGTGTTGCCCAGTGACAGCCCCAGAAAATCACTGCTCTAGAGGAGATCTGCATAGAGGAATGGGCCAAAATACCAGCAACAGTGTGTGAAAACCTTGTGAAGACTTACAGAAAACGTTTGATCTCTGTCATTGCCAACAAAGGGTATATAACAAAGTATTGAGATGAACTTTTGTTATTGACCAAATACTTATTTTCCACCATATTTTGCAAATAAATTCTTTAAAAATCAGACAATGTGATTTTCTGGATTTTTTTTTTTCTCATTTTGTCTCTCATAGTTGAGGTATATCTATGATGAAAATTACCGGCCTCTCTCATCTTTTTGAGTGGGAGAACTTGCAGTATTGGTGGCTGACTAAATACTTTTTTGCCCCACTGTAGCTTAAAATCAAGTCAGAGGAATACAAAGCAGGAGTCTTAATATACATATTCTTTTTTTATATTCTCTCAATAAAAACACACAAAACCTTATTTCTTTATTGTATTTCTATTACTCCGTCGATGCTAGAAACCATAATACTCTAATGGAAATCAATGGTGTCAGTTTTCTCCAGGATGCGCTGCAGGAAACATTTAATTAGGAATTATGTATTTAAGCCTATTTAGTAATTTTTTAATACTTGGCTAAAACACATAGAGCTCATAGAAACATTATATAAGATTTACATTTTTTGCGGCTTCAGACAGATCTGTTTTCTGCTGTTTTTTTGCTCTTTGAACAGTTTGGGTGTCCGACCCCTATTGTGGGGGTTTAATTTATGACTGAGGTGTGAATTGGTTTAGCTTAGCATTGGTTAGATATTGTGGATGTTAGAATGGTAGAATCTCAAAAATCAAGATGCCTTCAATCGATTAGCTGATTGCCCCACAGGACAGGAGAAGAAGCGTGTATTTTAAAGATCAAATTGACATGCTTTCCTCAGTACACGTATCACTGCACTTTTACATCTCACACAGACAATCTCAGCTCATTCCCAACTTCTCATTCCATCTCAGGTTGTCTTATAGTCTCAATATCGCAATGTGTGGATGCACATGCACAACGGAATATTGTGTCGACATCTTACTGGAATTCACGTGTGCTGGTCAGCGCCAAAGGTTGCTTCGACACTGAAGGAATGTTTATATAGACTTTCTCTGTTTACGTCAAACATCCTTATACACCATCTAATTGCGTACGAATCAGCCCTTAGAGACCTTGTTGTTACCAAGACTCATACCTGACCTTAAGCTTTGTTGCTAAGTATAAAGCCATGAAGAAGGCTATATAAGGCAATAAGCTGCTTCAGCATTCCCCCCTGTAGTTCATTGCAGATTAAATACTTTGTGATGTTAAATGGTGATGTGAATACTACGCAACTGAGTGCACTTACGTGTGTGAAGTTTAAATGAAAAACTAAATCTTAGTGTAACCAACACAGCCTGATATGAGTGTAAGTTGGGAAATATAAACCTTTAAATTAAAATTAAATGAGTGTAATGATTAATAACAAAACCAAAGTGAATATTAAACCAAATGATTATTACTGAACCCTCAAAGAAAGATCATCATTTTCCACCTGGCCAAGATTCAATTAGTATTGGATCGTTCCCCCTTTTTTTCTGTAGGTGTCTTACTCTTTCATGTCATACTCATTTAAGAGGAAACTATCCCATCGACCCATGCTTCCCCTGGACATCCAGCTGTAATGAGTTCAAAACCTTGGACCCAATACTCAAAAACAGACAGATCTTGATGGTTCAAAACTAGCCTTTATTGAACACTCAGTATGGCTGCTCATCAGCTGGGGCGGAAAAAACGGATCCTATGTGGGAACAGAAACTCAGGTCAGTGACTAATAAGGGCTAATAACAATTAAGAGAAAATAGTCACGGACCTGTTTCTGAGTGGAGCTGAAGCCAGCCGAGGCCGAGGGGCAACAGGGTCCTGAAGGGAATGTCCAAAGCCGAAGTCATAGCAGAACCAAATTCACAGACCAGAAGATCTGAAAGCCGATGAGGTACAGAAGGGGGATCCAAGCCGATGTCAGAAAAACAGTCCAAGTTTGGTGAGCCAGCCGAATCCAGGAATCAGAACAGAGTAGATCAAAGAGCAGACTCAATCAGGTAATCAGAAAAACAAACAGAAAGCTAGAGTTACTCACAGAAAACAGCTTGAATATTCTGGTACTGGTAGCTGGAAAACACAGCATATATAGGAGCTGAAAACAGGTGGATCAGATAAGCAGTAATGAGAAACCAGGCAGAGTTAAACAAGTGAGTGAAATGAGCAATCAGGCCAGCCACCAGTGCCAGGATCATGACACCAGCCTTCCCTCCTGCGTTGGCCGCAGCACAAATCGCATCTTGACCGTGCTACTCACGATGATCTGTAAGCCAACACTGCTTGAACCCTTCAATCCAATATTGATATTACATAATATGTGAAAGATAACTATTCAAAACATTTCAAATAACTTGAACTTAGTCGTAGTGTGTCATAGTATATAAGGCTAGGTAAATGAAAGGAAAAAAAAACAGTAAGTCAGTCCTTCAGTAGTCTGAGTCCCCAGTCCTCTAAACGGCCACTCATGTATAGTTTACCATGTAAAATAATCAGATAGTAATACAGATTATAATACCGAATAATAAAGGCATAATACAGGTAATAATGCAGGATAATGGCATGTTACATCCATGTTGTCATCCGGATTATATTTACTGAATATAAGAATGATTTATGCTGGTGTTTTCTTCTTTTCAGTTGAAAAAACAAAAATATAGTTCTTTTACGTTCAGGGGCTTGTCCCGGGCCTTCAAAGCATGAACACAGGAGCACGCGTTCACGCCTTCAAAATTCTTGCAGCGGCTGTTAGATGGTTCATAGTTGGATAGTCGCGGGTCCTAGGTCGGTCATCATACATTTATAAACCGTCATCGCTATCCATCTCCTCATAACAGGCAAGATGCAACACACAAGCAGAAAAAACACAATCAGTGTTATCGTCACAATTACCCCAATCTTAACAGCAAGTGCTCCTGTGTGTTATGATTATTTTTTCGATGATGTATGAGTCTGTTCAACCCTAATAATATCTGCCTGTTGTGAGTCAGAATAATGTTTTCCCATTCTGAGTAAAATTATAATCTCTATCAGAATCTTTTGTCTCCTGGTTATTTATTACATAAACATTATAAAGGGTTATTTAAAGAGTTTGTTCTCAGTGATCTCTGCTCAGGAAAAGAACTGCAGAGAGATAAAGCTTTAAGGTGGAAACAGAGAGCTTTCTATAACAAACATCTGATTGTTTTCTTCATGAAGCCTTGATTATAGATCCATCCATCATCAGAGGGGATGTAAAATAACCAACAGCAGGGAAAAAGATCAAATCAATCAGCTGATCAGGCTTATCGACTGTGACTATAAAGGGAAACATGTTGGAGCGTAGGATGTCATGTCATATACAGGATGTTTTATGGTTGTGTTTGAAAGCCATACTGCATACTTGTACCGCACTGCTTCCTTATCCTGTCAAGGGAATCCTAGCGAAAGCAATAAGTCAGATGATTAATTGGCATCTTTCTGACAATTCAGCTTTATACCATCAACTATGACCACAGGGTAACCCTGAAATCCCACATCCTCCGTCACCGCTCCACTCCGCTGCTCTCCAGACCGTCTGAGCAAAGCAAAGCCTCCAG